TTAAGATGTTAATAACATTCCTAACTTTTTGTTACAGGAGTTGAACACCAGCACAAATATCTCAAGAAAAGTGCTGTTCCATCTGTCTTTGCATGGAACACACAACCAGTTTCGGAGAAGGCAAACGCAAGACAAGATAGATTAAAAGCCCGTAACGTTAAAAAGAAACAGCTTTTTGAAATGCCTTCTACTTCTTAATAATCTTAATACTGTGAGGACATAGTGCCACTTAAAGATGAAGATGACGTGCACATGACTGATTGCAATGTATCTCAAGAGCTTGTCGTTGAAAATGAATGTGACAAATCACCATTATCTTACGCTGTAAATCAAAACACTTGTGGCACTCAGACATCAAACATATTAAGACTATTCTCAACTGAGCTGTTACTTGCAGATGATGAGACAGTGCATTATTATACTGGATTAGAAACATCTACAAAGTTTTCTTTAGTTCTAAGCACACTTTTACCTATGGCTAATCATTTCGATAATAAACCACAAGTAATCACAATTGCACGGGCGTCTTCAAGTCACAAAAGGGCGAATAAACAGTTCGTAAGTTTGTAAATGTGACAGAACAATGGCCGTCAATACAAAAGAACTAGCTATGCTGGCGCCATCTGTGCTAAGCTTTGACCAGCCAACACCATTCCAACAGAAATCTGGCATCTAGGAAGTTTTAAAGTGAACCCCAAGTACTACAACTACAATAACAACATCAGTGGTGAACTAAACTTTGGATTTGGAACTTCAGAATCAACATTATATATCTATGCACCAACCACAGACCATAATTATGATTTAGTGGTAATTGGCAACACAGCACAGATATTATCAAATCTCAACATAGACATAAAATCATAGAAAAAAAAGTTAGACCTTTGTCTAAGGTTTTCAAGCTATCTGCTAACTTCATTGCATACCTACTCTTTGTCTTTGATAGCTTGATCAAAAAACAGTGAACTGTCAAAGTGTCAAAATGTCGGTCAATGCACAAGTTCATAATATGAGTAGCAATGAAAATAATAAAAAGAATGACAAAACACTTAAACAGTTGTTTCCTAAACGGGATGAGTGCTCACATGTGTCTTGTTATTGGCAAGTGTTTTTAAATTTTTCTACAGTTCCACATTATTAAAAAAATATTCAATAACCGTGCCTTTGTTGTGTTCTTTTCTGCAGCGAGGAAAACGTCTGGAAACTGTGTCAAGATGTATCATTGAGAATTCCTGAGGAATTGGATAGGTGTTACATTGTTTTTATATCCAACCCTTGTCGTACGGTGCCTTTGTGGAAACAAAGGGCTGGGCGCGAGGAGGATCGTCTCGTCATATGGGTGTGTACCGAAATTATGTCACGCTATTATGTACTTAATAAGTTTTATTGTTCAGATAATGTGAGTTTCTTCCAATTTATTCATACATAATTTGTGACCAAGCTTCCTTTCATTAATTCCTTCATGTTCATTATAATACTATTTTAGCTTTTCATTGAAGTAGTTTCAACAACATAGTTTAATGATGATCGAATAACCTTATTATGTTTATATCAAGTAAAATGAGAGCATAATTAGCATATTTAGAATTGTTTGTTTCTAAAACCAATACATTTCAATTTCAGGATTATCATGTAATATTTCTGTATTCCTGGGACAGCAAAACTTGCCTTGTTTATGATCTGGACTCTGAATTGCCGTTCCCGACATTTTTCCACAAATATGTCACAGAGACATTTCGTACAGATCAAGTGCTCAAGTCAGATTTTCACAGGTAACAATAACAAACAATATCATGTTTTATAACTGTATAATACTATGATAAATCTTCATCAAAGTTAAAAAGGAATGACCTATACGAATATCAATAACATACTATTTATATTTTCAGATTCTTCCGTGTAGTGCCTGCTAAGTTGTTCTTGCAGAACTTTGCATCAGACCGACGTCACATGAAAAGACCGGACGGTTCATGGATCAAACCACCACCTCCATACCCAGCAATATGTACATCAAGTGAGTACCATATTCAATTAATAAAGATTCAGAATTTGACCTTCATTTCAGCAAAATATTTCTGAGGACTCGCATGTTTTACAAATGATCCTATTAGCATCTGAATGTTTTCATGTTAAATGAGTTTTGGCTTCTATTGCTGGCTCTGAGCCAATAGCTTATCCACTCACTTAAGTAATGTAACAAATGTAGTATTCACAATACATACTTTTGTTATATTTTTCTTTGTTCTTTCTGTAGGTACTGTTTTGTTTGAAGTTGAGAAATAGGTCACTGGGTCACTTATTGTACTGTAGAAGTACAAACTAGAATATTGTTAGTGCTGAATATTTCAATAGAATATTACTATCTTTTATATTACATATGAATAAAAGATTCTATATATCGAGATTTCTTTACCACATTTAGTAGATTAGTTACGAAATGGGTTCATAGTTTAACCTTTTAAGCACTAAAAGTCTAGACATTATTATGCTATGTAGTTATTGATTTGATCAAAAGATAAGTTAGTAATAGTTACTGTTAGCATGCATTAGTTAATTACAAGGTTATGACTCATTTAATTTTTAACTTTCTATATAATAATACTATAAAATTATTTTATTTTTAATGTTCTTTCTCCCATAGTATTTTATTTTACTTTATCTGGTGTTTAACATTTTTTTGTCGACATATGAGACACAATAGAAAACACATAGTGTCTTGCATGGTTGAGTTTTGTCACTCTACGAATTAAGTAAAGTTAGTATAGAGACTGATTCAACTTTAAGTTGGTATTTCTTCTCAGAGTATTCAGATATGGAATGCCAGTCTCATCTACCTAATTTTAATACTGGTTTAGTGCTATTTTGTAGCCTTTTTATCTTTAACAGTTGACTGATATTAAGTTTTTTTTTTCAGCTTCTACACATAATCTAGATGAGTACATCAACATGGACTTTGGAGTTGGTCCCGGTCAGGTATTTAACCTTACAGATTTTGTGCAGCGGTTCTACAAAATAAACAAGTAGTACAAATACAAAAGATGTTTTGATAGATAGTCCAATGTTGGGTTTATAATTAATTTCAAGAGAAAATGTTTTTTCGTTTTAATTTTTGATTATGTTTTAGTAATCCATGAGTATTTTCTGTATCCCTTGCGGTGGATTTATATTAGAAGCATGACACCGTTCCTGATGAAAATATGTTTTTGTTACGATCTAATTATGTTGCCATTATTAAGTAATAGGAAAGTAATTTCTATTCATTTGAGTGTAATTATAATTGTTCTTAATATTGTACGAGTGACCTTAAAATTATGACAGCACAATAAGTCAACAAATTTTATCCACAAACACAAAAAAATGATTATGCACAAATGTTACCTTTTATGAAATTGAGCAGTAATATGCTTCGTTAAAGTATTATTATGTAGGTTTAACTGAAAATAGATGGAGATTAAATTATATTATTAGCTGTTATTGAAGTTTTAATATTGTAATTATGCAGTTGTACAATCAGAAACCTACATAAGAATACACAAATATATACTTTTATCTAGTAATAATTTAAAATAAATAAAAAATTAAATATGGCAAATTATATAATAATTCAGGGCACTTCTATTCCCCATAAAGATTAGCTGGTTTTGATATAATTAGATAGTTAAATATTAAGCATAGTGAATTTAATCGAGGCTAGTGCTTAATGTTTCAATTTTATATGAGTAACAAGTGAGTAGTGTTTTGGATGTTCTGCATATTTATTCTTTTGTCGTTATTGTGAGAGTAGATCATATTAATTATCATTTTGACTGAGGTAATCCTTATTTACGGATTGTGTGTTACCTTGAGTGATAAATTAATGTTTAAGTAACTTTATTGTAGTGTATATGGTCGCAAGTAGCTTTTGTATGTTGTTAAACTATTTAATAATTTTGTAACAACTTTTATACACTCTTTTTATTCTTCCCTAGCACCCTTAGAAAATTGAAAAAATACCAAAAAATATATTTAAGAATATTCGCTTGCGGTAAGGGTTAATCCAATGTATAGATATGAATTGTATGATTCGTTTCTAAGGAGATAGAGTCAGTTTGTTTACGTCCTTCTACTTCCACCTATGTACTTACTAATTTAGTTGAGCAAACTTAAGAAATATTATCTATTGTTCTAAATCTTAAAAGATTATTTTACCTAAAATATTTACACTTAAAATTGTACCTTAATATTTTACATTTTATCTATTAATTATGAGTAAAAATATTAACTACTTAAAGTACTATATTAATTATACTTAAGATTAAGAAAACTTACTCTAAATGGCACAGAAGAAAGATGTTACTTTATAATGTTGGTTTGTGAATTGTGAATAATTTTATTGTTACTTAAAACATTGAATTAATTATATTTACTACCTACATACTTTCTGCAGGGTTCTTGATCTGTGTTCGAAACTTTACTGTTTACTAGTCCATGTTAATTATTTTTTAAGGTTCAATGACATTCTCTCGAACATTATTTGAATTGCTTCTACCTAGTGTAATGTCAATGAAAAATTTTATTGTAGTGCATTTAAGACCTAGTCATTATTGTTAATTACTCTTCTTCCTAACAGTTGTCACTTGTCACACTTAGTAATTAATCGTCGAGGCGTAGCTGGATATTCTATGGGACCAAACTCTTTGGACTGGATGCGGTGGAACCCGGAACGTAGAGCGAATATTAATCCCTGGGAGTGTGTTTACGGCCCATTGGTTACGCCTTTGTCCTCCTACATTATTATCCACATGTTACAGACTCAATCGATACCTTCCCTCTACGCCTTTAAAGTTTTATCTATTGACTGACATATGAGTGATAATTATTGTGCTTGTGCTTTTAATGTACCAAGTTACATGTTTTAATTTAAGATTTATCAAGCAAAATAAATGAAACATTACACGCTATTTTGTATTTTTATTAGATTCAATCAATTACAAAGCACATAAGAATCAATAAAACCTTATCAACAACACCACAATGTTATGGACACAACAAAAGCAAAATTTAAATAATATTTTATAACATATAACACCAAACAAACACAATGAATTATATTAAACAACAAATTGGTATCACAGTTGATTATTTGTAGTTTTAATACTAAAAATACTAAGCTAAGCTATCACTTTGAAAGAGAGTATTATTTGGTAACTATTTCTGCTCCATCCTCTGTGACTAAAACTGTGTGTTCTGCTTGGGCGCATCTGGAGCCATCTTCTGTGATTAAAGTCCAGCCATCGTCAAGCAGCACTGCATGCTTACTCCCATGGGTTAAAGCTGGCTCTATGGTGAATGTCATGCCTGGGTTCATTACTCCAGGGTATCTGTTGACTGTGGAATAAATAACGTTTAGTTTGTGAAGGTAATGTTATAAAGGAAATAGAAGTTGCAAGCCCATTTGAGAGGCAAGCATATTCTGGAACTAACTGTGTGTAAAAAATATACTTACTACTATGATATATCTCAGGAGGTCCATGGAAATACTCCCCAATGCCATGTCCCAATACAGAAGGAATTACAGTCAGGCCATGTCTCTTTGCATGTCTATAAATACTTGAGCCAATTTCTTTGAAAGGAACACCTGGTCCACAGCATTTTATACCCTAGAAATAGGAATATTAGCTGTTATTAAGGTTCTAGAACTAGTATGCGAGGCCTGTTCAACATTAGAAGATTTTTCTTTAGCTTACAATATCCAAGCATTCTTCAGTAATAGAAACCAGCTGTAACCCTCTGTCATCCACATCACCAACTAAAATTGTTTTGGAACAGTCTCCATGGAAGCCTTTATAGAATACCTGAAAAATTTTAAATGGCCTTTTATTAGACTGAGGTCTCATAGTCCCATTTGTTAATTGCGACGGTATAATAGGGCATGTCATAAACATTATAATTACGGAAAATAATACTGCAAAACAACAATGCAGTGCAACAGACGAATAGAGCCTCACGCTTATATTAGGTCATACATAATCTTAAAGGCAGTTTCAAATAAGATTAAAAAAGATTATCTTTGTTTACCTGCAGGGAGATAAGATACTAACAAACCCATCCTTTTTTAAAAGTTGCATGGTGACAAAATAGCAATAATTTTTAGGTGTGTTATCTTTCATGCAAGAAGTGCACAAGGTTGATATGATTTGATACTTATCAATATTAATTTATCTGTAAATTTCCAATGTAATCTCAATTTCAATTATTAGCAGCAGGAATTGAGCAGTTACTATGCAATAAAAATGTGATGTAATTTTCACATCACCTTTTTACTTTTTTTAATTAAGTCCTTTCGTCTATAATCCGATACATTTTTCTTTTACTAATAATATTTGAAATATAATACCAACCGTAATATCTACATTAACAATATCTCCATTGTCTAATGGCCTCAAGTCAGGTATACCATGGACAACTACATTGTTGACTGATGTACAAATACTCTTTGGAAAGTTCTTGTAAAGTAATGGTGATGGATAAGCCTCTGCTTCTACACACAAATTATGGGCCAGCTCATCAACATCATCTGTTGTTACACCTGGCTGAAAATAAAAATAATAAAATTAGATAAAAGAAAAAAATTATATCAATGATCATTTCTTTTTTTTATTGCTAGTTACCTGAATAAATTCTTCTATTTTCTGAAGTATACTTGCAGCAAGTTTGCAGCTTCTTTGCATACCTTGAATCTGTTCAACGTTTTTTATTTCTGGTACTTTTGGTACCACTAATTTTTCTGTCAATGAAATATAGTCTGGCCTAGCAATATGCTCTGGCACAACTCTACTTGGTGTAGTTGCTTCTGGTAAAACTACATTGTATACACCAAACCGTTTTCTGAAACATTACAGAGAGAATATTATGTAACTTCCTAAATAGTTGCAGAAATTGATTACTTACTTTCTGTTCCCATTTGTGTGTTTTCCTTCAAGGCATTGATTTTTTCGGACACAGTACAAACATAAAAATAGCCAAACAGGCACAGGAAATTAATGTTAGTGCAAGGCATGCAAATGGACGTTTTCTGACTATGTATGAGACAATGTTAGTTAGTTGTGTTATTTTCTAAATTCTAAGGCAAACTTACAAAATCCTCTCTTGAATCCTCGGGTTGCAGGCTCTAGGCACTCTCATACTGAAGTACCTAGCTTTATCACCGAATTATTGACGACGTATGATGAGGTTAGGCTTTAAACGAAGTGCAACTTAAATAAAAAAAACAATCGTTTAAAAAATCTGGTGCAAGGGTATAATGATTTAGCATGATGAAATGCATGAATAAAAAGGGAAAATCTCAAGAAATCAACAAAGTCATTGCAATTATTGCCAAGCTTACACATTCGCTCTCCAAAATCTGCCAAATGTCTCCATATTTTTAATTCTTATTTACTCCCAATACTCGTACGTCGAATAAAACAAACAGTTTTAGTCAGAAAAAGAATATGTTCTGAAAGAAAAATTAATTAGTCTCTTATCTCGTTTCAATTTCAAACTAAAACTGAAAAATCACGAGGTCACATTGATAAATCTTGTTTTTATTTAATGACATTGACATAATATGACACTTGCATGTACCTATTTGTCATTTTTAGTGCTGCTCTTTTGTTTAGACCATAGACTAGTCTGCAGCCATTAGAAAAATAATAAAAATTATATGCCCCAGCCCAGAGCTTATAATTTAAATATAATATCGTAAAGTATAGCAAAAAAATACATTTGAACATTAGTGTTCTCAGTAATAAGAATACTTTTATTCTATTAATAAAAATATAATATTTTACGTGGGTAAATCCTGCAGGACAGAATACATTTTTCCTCACGCTTTTTGAGTGCTCTATAGCTGTCCATAAATACTTTTAGAATTATAAAATGGTACAACACTATTGTTTTGCTGTATGGAGGTTTACTTGTTGTAACGTTTTTATTAGCATTGTTGTTATAAGACGAAACTTTCTGTAAAAAGCAGAAATCGTTTGAATAAAAGAGAACACACTAAATAATTAATAAAACCATGTCGCAGAGTGAGTAAGACCTACTATAAATATCATTAAACCGATTTACAAACGATCGGAATTTGGACTATTTGTAACTATTTCATTGATTTTTTTTTCAGATTCTGAAAAACCACCGAATCAAGATGTTGTTGATCCAACAGGACCAGCTGCAAGGAAAGGAATCCTTATATCTTTTAGGACTGGGAAAACAATGGAAATACCTGAGAAAGATATCGTACGTAAACATAACCTATAAATTACCGATTGTTAATATTGTTGATATTATAGGTACTTATTCGATTCGAAGTTATAACCAAATTTATAAAAATAAGTACTATATACATATCTCGAAATTATACAACTTTATAATCACTCCACTTGAATATTATCGTCAGTATTTTTACGTATCCAAAACTCATTTATTATTTTCTCATTCAGCTTGGGAGATGCAGATTTGTTGGCGAATTTGAAAAATTAAATAGAATTGGTGAAGGCACTTACGGTATAGTATGTAAGTATTGCCTATTTAATTTAAAGATCCTATGGATAATCACTGAAGCATAGAATTAATTATTATTTTGAATTTTATGAATACTGGAATTGTATGTAATTTAATAAATTATTGTTATTCCAGACAGAGCAAAAGATAAATTAAATGGCTCTATAGTGGCTTTGAAGAAGGTGAGGATGGATGTTGAAAAGGATGGTCTTCCACTTAGTGGTCTCCGTGAGATTCAAGTCCTAATGGCTTGTAGACATGAGAATATAGTTCAATTGAAAGAGGTTCTAGTTGGGCGTTCTCTTGAGAGGTGAGTTTAATAAATATTCCTACACATTTGCATTACATTTATTATTATTCCAATACTATAATTTTTCTTGTAATATAGGAAGAATAACTATAAATTTTGCTGTCAATAAGTTACTTTTAAACAAACAGTGATTGCAATAAAAAGAAAGTAACTTTAGTAATGGAACTTTAGTAACAAAAAAAATGTTTTTATTATGGTATGTAATTTATAAACAAGTCCAGACTTCTATGAAATAAACTGTTTGCTTTTCATTGGAAAGCAACAAGATACATAGTATATTAGGATAAGTTTGTTGTAAGTCTCTGGGTTTGATTAAACTCCTAAACCGCTAGAATGCCTGTATATGAGACACAAAGAAAATACATTGTGTTAAATAAAGATTAACAAAAAAAAAAAAAACAATATTTTATCAATGTTTATTATATTAATTTGTTATAATAATCTGAACTTAATAATTATGTCCCCAGCATTTTTCTATCAATGGAATACTGTGAACAAGACTTGGCGTCACTGCTAGACAACATGTCATCACCATTCACCGAGTCCCAAGTGAAGTGCTTGATGCTGCAAGTACTGAAAGGATTAAAATATCTACACTCTAACTTTATAGTGCATAGAGATTTGAAGGTTTCCAACCTGCTGCTTACTGATAAAGGGTGTGTTAAGATTGGTAAGACACAGTCTTTATTATAAACTAGCTACTTCCGCGCGGTTTCATACGCTCTGCTCAGCTCCTATTAGTCATAGAGTAATGTTTTATAGCCCATAGCCATCCTCGATAAATGCGCTATCCAACACAAAAATAATTATTCAAATCAGACTTGTAATTACGGAGATTAGCGCGTTCAAACAAAAAAAAACTCTTCCGCTTTATATAATAGTATAAGATTAGCTTCTTTGACTCTCTTCTTCAGACCATAACCTACCCCTGTTCGAAATTTAAATTTGATCGCCTCAGCTCTTTTGATGTGAAAGAGTAACACACAAACATAAAAACTTTCACATTTATAAGTAGGATATTAGGATATTTATCAATTGTAAAACTACCATATATTACGTTATATTTTCAATACTGTTTAAATACTGATACATAGTGCCATGTTATTGGAGGCTGGTTAAACAGAAATGGGTTTCAATAAAAGAAAATTATACATAACATTACGCCTTTAACCCTGATGCGCATTATGGCACTTACTGCCACTATACAATGTAACACCTACTTTTCACTATTTATGTTATGATTCTCATGTAATAGAGGGTGAGTCTATTGCCATATACCGGGCACATTTCCAGACTCTGTGCTACTACTAAGGTTTTTACAAATCCAGTAATACTTTGCCCAGAAAATAATACTGTTATCATTTAAACTATTCAATTAATATTCTACTTTATTACAAAACATAACTTAGACTTAAAAATCAATGTGACCACAAAACTTATAAAATTACAGCGGATTTCGGCCTGGCACGTTGGTTGGGAGCGCCAGCCCGTAGTGCAACTCCTCGCGTCGTAACTCTATGGTACCGAGCGCCTGAATTACTGTTACAATCACCTCGTCAAACTCCAGCACTTGACATGTGGGCTGCTGGCTGTATCCTCGGAGAACTGTTGGCCAACAAACCTTTACTTCCCGGGAGAACTGAAATAGAACAGCTGGAACTTATTGTTGATCTACTTGGTAAGTTACAGTTATAACTATTTCTGCATCACATCATATTAAAAACGATTTCTTGTTGGAGATTTTTTTTGTCATCTCTTACGTAAGTGGCATGTAGCATGCTAACAAGTACAATAGTTTGCAGGATTCTATTGTTTTATTTTTATTTTATAGCTCAGTAAAAACCACAGTGTATTCTACATTAGATAAACTAATTCGACTAACTTAACTCCAGCTTAGAACTATCCAAGCATGATTTGACTGCACGGTTGGTGCGGTGGCTGGGCAACCGGCTGCCGTGCAACGTGTCGCGGGTTCGATTCCCGCACGGAACAACACTTTGTGTGATCCACAAATTGTTGTTACGGGTCTGGGTGTCATTGTGTATGTGACCTTCTATGTTTTTAAACGCACCCACGACACAGGAGAAAATCCTAATGTGGGGCAACGTTTTTTAAAAACTAAACAAAACACAACAAAAAAGATTTGGTTATGTCAGAAACCACCAACATCTTGTTTAATATTTAAAGATAACAGGTGGGGTATTATGACGTCCTAAAGTCAGAATGGTTCCATTGAAGGAAAGAAACAGGGCTATACAAGTCGTTTAGCGAGATCTCGTTTCCTCAACGGAATCACTCCGGCTTTAAGGCGTCGTAATACGGTTTCGAAGCATTCGAAATGGGCTTTTTGAAGATGTCTGAGCAATCATAAGGTATCATAAGATAAGCAAGTTAGTAGACACATAACTCAATTTGATGTTTTTCCACAGGAACACCTTCAGACGCAATCTGGCCGGAGTTCAGTGCTCTGCCAGCTCTACAAAACTTTACTTTGAAACAGCAGCCCTACAATAATCTCAAACAGAGGTTCCCATGGCTGTCGGCCGCGGGGCTCCGGCTCCTCAACTTCTTGTTTATGTACGACCCTAACAAGCGCGCCACGGCCGAAGAATGTCTACAAAGCTCGTACTTCAAGGAACAACCACTGCGTAAGTGTCCTTGAGTTTCGTTTTCTACCTATTGAAACTTAAATCAATTGTGTTTAAGTCACAATTTTAGGGGGTTAACTACATTACAATTATAAAAAAATCTCAGTCTGTATTAATACTTTTCTTTTTTTCGCAGCGTGCGACCCCAAGCTGATGCCCAGCTTTCCTCAGCACAGAAACATGAAAGGACAGCAAAAGAGTTCCTCTAATCAGTTGAATATCCCCCTGTCAAACTTGAACACGGGTGCTAACGACCAAACCAACAACCTGCCGGCCATCTCAGACCTACTAAGTGCTCTAGTCAAGAAACGGAGGCTCGATTGATGAAACTACATGTAACACGTATTATTATAGTTAAGTAAGGTACTAATAAATTGCACCGAAATATTAAAAAAAAGTTTTATTTTAAAATTAAGTAGATAATTAAGTAAACACTCATTTTTTTAGTATTTCAGACAAAACCTTTGCATTGATTGCGATTTTTTTTTTATAAAATTCATATTATTCTGTCGATGCGTCTTCGTCACCCGAAAGTCCCATGGCTTGTTTGAATTTCTGATGATATTTTTGGATCATGACAGCCTCGTTGGTCTTAGCTTTTACTTTTTCTTTCTGGAATAAATGTAGGTAAATAAAAATACTCTTGTATTTGTTATAATTGTTTATGGCGGATTCAAACACACATTCCACACAACGAATGCAATATCTTTGCATGAGGAGTGACAGTATTATTTGGAGGTGTAGTACTCACAATTTCTTTTTCTGACTTTTCTATTACTTTTAAGCTTCTAATACATTGGGAACAAAGAATTACATCTTCCATATGATTCACGGTTTTTTTGCGGTGATGATGTTTTAATCTGGGAACAAAATTCAATTAATTTATCTTTGTTCAATCAAAGTGGAGCGATTCCTTTCAGTTCGGTAGATACCAGTGTACTGACTATGTAAAAAATGCCACAGTAGATTCCTGCTCCGAATAGGGATGATGACAGTGCATGAAAATTAAAAATCTAATTAGTCCGTCAGGTAATGAAAACATATTAGACACGTATTTTTTTTATTTTTAAGAAAACAATACTTGGATAAAACGAATCAAAGTTTAGGTGTGGGAGGTAGCTACGTCATTTTAGAGTATAAATCGTACTCAAAAGTGACGTCATGCGATATTTCAAAAATATATCTTCGAAACTATTCGTTTCCGTAAGAAAATAAATACGTGTCCTATGTTTTTAAATAATCTACCAGACGGACATTAAAATAAAAAATGGTCATCTACCCTATTAGGTACCTACTTATAAAGGTTCTCATGACGATTTGTCTGTATTATTTCACAATTGAAGATTTTAAATAAAAAAAGGGCAATTTCATAAAACAAAAAACTAACTGTATCTGTTTGTACGGCATGGTCTCATTGATCGATGGATCATATTCAATTTTCCCATAGCTGACATTGCAGAATGTTACCATAACATAACATCACGCCCTTTATCCCCGAAGGGGTAGGCAGAGGTGCACATTATACCACTGTACAATGTAACACCCAGTTATCACTATTTATGTTACGAGTCCCATGTAGGTGGTGAGCCTATTTCCATATACCACAATTCCAGACTCCGTGCTACTACTGAGAATTTTTCAAAAACCCAGTAGTACTTTGCCCGACCCGGGAATCGAATCCGAGACCCCTTGTCCGGCAGTTGTACTTGCGACCACTGGGCCAACGAGGCAGTCAATGTTTACCATATCTACCTACTATCTATCTGTAATTATTTACGACTTTGATTTAATTTACGTAAACGAGAACTTACTGTTTCCCACAGTAGTCACATTGAAGTTTGTCAGTGCGGTGGGTTATTATATGCCAGCCTAATTCGTGATAAGTCGGGTAGCGTTCCGAACATCGAGGACACACGATTTTGCCTTCTGAACGACCACCGTTGCTTTGATGTTCGTACAACTCTTGAGAAGTTTGGAAGTTTTGGTGGCAACTTGGACACCTGTGGAATAATTTGTCGATTCTAATGAAAATATAGACTCGTAGTTGTTATATTCAACCAATGTAAGAATGTTCATGTTCAAGAATGTAACTAAAAATTGTATTGTGAACATGATTGAAAAAGAGTAAGTTATGGAGTTTCTTGCTCGTTCTTCTCCATAAGAATCTACACTTTGGAACGAGCAAATAGCTTCACTAGAGGACTGACCTACAGACTGACAATCTTTCTTAATAATTAATATTTTTTTTATATTTTGTTTTGACGTTCAAAAGTGCCTTCTTTGTCTAATTGAAATAAATAATTTTGACTTTGACTTTGACAACCTAAAATCATTTTAAATACCTACTGAGCTTGAATAAGCAACTTTAACATTTGTGAAGTAATTTTCCACTTACATGAATATATTTGGCTGTAAATGAAACGCCATGTGTTCTATTATTTTCTTCGGATAGAAATAGTGAAACTTTTTGTCACAACAAGTCACATAGCCTGGTACGCCGTGCCTCTCTTTGTAGTGTTTCATAAGAGATCTGAAGTGGAAGCCATTCTCGTGGCAGATGCAGCATTCCATTTTATAAAACAATGTTATTTGACGGTCCAAAGCAGCTCCTTGTTTAGCTGGTCTACCTTCCAACAACACTAAAGGGTCGAGGTTATCCGTATTCACTTCTGGGTCAGGTTTATGTTGCTCTTTTTGTGCTTCTCTCTTTTGAGGGCCGGTTAATTTAATACCCCCTGTACTCTGCTGAAGCATATTTTTATCGAGTTTCTCACTGTTGGCAAATTCTTCCAACGTCATTGACTCCATAAACTTCAGGTCAGAAGGTGATTTTTTTTTCGGCACTTTGAGTTTCGCATTTTTCGTGTCTCCCTGCTGTAGCTCACAAGATGGAGATTTCAGGTTTATCCCACTGCTCGGTTTTTTTTGCGCCTCTGCCACATTTTGGACCGACATTGCTGCGATAATTGGGTGCATAACTTTTTCAACTGGGGCGCTCCCTTTCTCCTCTTGTATTTTCAGTTTGTGAAATTCTAAAAACTTTTGTGTTTTCTCAACTTTTACAGCGTATAGGTGTAAAGCCGATACTTGCTGTAAACAGTCATGGCATATTGCTTTCGGTAACGTATCATCTGTGCGAACCTGGGAACGCGCGAATAGGTTTAGAAGAAATAATCAATAGGTACCTAGGTAGGTGCAAAAATAATTTTCGTAAAACAATAAATAACAAGCTGTACCTATTTAATAAAAAACAATAAACTACTACGATTTGATTAAGTAAATAAATTTTAAAGACAAAGACTTGTACCTACCCTGCTGTACCTAGGTATTATTAGGGACGTAGATATTTAGTAACGTAATATCCTAATTATTTATATTTCGTAGTACAGTATCGCACCGAATAAATCTGATAAGGTACACAGAAATACAGAGTTCCCTACCAACATGAGCTTTGTACAACTAGTTGGCTTACCAAAATATCGAACAGCCTCTTGATTTTCCGCTTTACCTCTGCACTGAGCGGCTTCAGTTTGACCACATCGGTGCACAGACACAAACGACACGAGAGTTCACGGACAATAGTTTTTTCTAAATTAGCAAAGTCATTCATACTGCTGATTTTCTTACAAAACGATTAAATACATAATACAAATGTACAAAATAAATATAATAAAGGTTATGATTGTGCAGGCTTTATTTGTTCATGACAAAAATACTATTTTAAAATCAATCTGATAAATTTGGACATAGTGACAGGTCCATGACTGTTTGTTTAATTTTAACACTTGATAAATAACGGCCAGGGCGAAAATAATTAGATTTTTTCATAGCCTACTTCTTGGCCTACTTACTTATTTAAATTCATGAACAATAAATTATTAAGCACTTTCTTTTTCGTAACAGTATTTCTGTAACGAGGTTTTATATAATCTTGTAATCTCGCAAGTGCCTACGAAGGTACTTACATAACAATTTATAATGAAAAACTATTTAGGTCCATAAGGGCTTACGTAAAGGAAGTAGAAAATACAGTTCTACTTGACCGGTATGAACTAGCTTTTCGGTAATGTGTCAAACAAAACAACGGGGAAAAGCTACCTAGTTTTATTAACAAAATGAGACCCCATATACAAATTAAATGATATGTTCCCACCGAAGTAAATTACATCACGTAGGCAACATAGCTACATGTCAGTTTCACTTTAGAGTAGGTTTACTGACATAGGCATGTGTTGAGGTACCTATCCACTGTATAGGTAGGTACTGTAAATGAAATGTCTGTTACAATTAAATTCAGGCCCTAAAATGTTGTGTAACATTTAGCCAGCGACCACGTGATTGTGCGTTGAATAAAAATGTTTCAAATTAAAAGAAACACTAACATTTGATTATAAACAATTCATATGAAGCGTCACGTAGTTGAGGTCGACATAAAATTCAGTGCGGTAAAATGTTACTAAAAAAAGTATATTGAAATCTAGGTTTTTGTTTCGTGTAGGTACGAAAGCCTAAAACTTAAATAACAGAACTTGAACAGTGCTTTATGAAACCAGGCCTAGATTTCGGTTACTGGTAAAACGATAGGTCACACTCACTCGTAGGTAAGTCACATAATGTATTTATTTATTTATACGAATAGAACGGTACAAAAATACCAATTACTTACACTACTCAATACATATACAATCGAAAGAAACAATACATTTAAAAACTTAATCATTATTAGAGTTCATTCATCTCGACCGACAAAAATAATCTTCTTTCACTTGAAAACACATTACACTCTGATGTAAGTTACGGCATTTCTAATATTACATACGTCACGGTACACCACAATACAAAACGAAACTAATATTATAAAAATGTACACTTCATACCTCCACTGGCTCCATTCGACAAAATGGTTGGAAAATAAAAGGGAAAGGGATTTTCCACGGCTCAATAAGCATTGTTGTGAGGCAAGGACTGCGTACACGATAATAACCTTCAAGAATTAATAGAATCCGTGCCGACCGGACTTTTTGTGTGATCGCGAAAACGAATTACAATATTCCATCGACAAATCCCTTTGAGGAGTCCACATTCGCCTTAGGCACGTCTTAGCATTCATGATATGGACAATAAATCTTATTACAACAGATATTCTGGTTCGATGAGATATTAACTATCTTCGTATTTACTGCCTTGGTAATGAATGGCGTGCCAGCTGCTTCTGATTCCACTTAACGCATAACAATCGATTGAATGGAGATGTCAGAGACCTAAGCATCCACCGTGTAAACATATACGCCAGTACTTTACGGTTATATTTATTGCATAAAGTGAGTTTTTCATTTGTAAAAGTGAAAAAATAGGTTTAAAACGATGTTAGTTTGTTGGTACCTAATCATTTTATTGCGTCGCGGAGAACCTAACGGGTTACCGGGGCTCCGGCTCGACGTGCAGGAGAAGGAACGGGGTGGTTTTTAGTCAGTAAGAGTCTGACACTCCCTCCCGCCTCACTCAGGTGGGAGCAGTCATTCGATGATTTTCTCCCCTTAAAAAAAGCATCCACCGACAAGGCTTAATATGATTAGGTTTGAATAAAAAATGAATTGAGGGGCACGACAATAAATCAGCAAGTGATTTACATTGAAAATAATCTTCATAACTAAGAGTTCTATTTGATTCGATATGTATTCTCGATTATTGAATCGGCAATGAAAACAAGACTGTATCAAAGCATATCCTAAAACATCAATTTATTGTAAATCAGTCTTCCAAACCGACTCTCGGAATTAACTGAAATGGCCACTCGGTATTACAAAGGAAAGATACATTGAAAGCTGGCCTTTAGCCTTTGATAGCACCCATACACCAGCTTCTTATGTAAGTGGACTGATCTATCACAGCTACTGATTTCCTAGATAGTTGAATTCATGTAATCAGAGAATGATTTAGAGGCGGACTACGGCTAAGTAGTTGGACGAAGTTATTGGGTGGGATCAGCCATCCGAAATGAAAGGGTGGCGGCAAGGTCGTGAGAGGTTCCAAGTTCGATAGGTAGATAACTGGTCTAACTACTCACTTCTGTGTTTCGCAGAAAGTTGGGGGAAATTATCAATATTCTATTAATATTATACGTACAAACTATAAACGTAGAGATCTTTATGGGGAGCGCGATTTATTTTCGAAAAGGTTCGAAGGTATAACCGTTTTTGTTTAGTGCATGTTAATTAGTGTAGTTAATTAATTTTCAACTCAGGTCACGAGTGATTGGGGTTTCGCAGAGTACCTTCGCTTCGTAACAAACACTCTGGTACTTTAGTACGTGATACTTTGGTAAAGGGTAAGTGAATTAATTTTCAAATTAAGTTTTGTTGCATAATAAGGAGTTGCTTAAAATTGAAAGTTGTACCTCACGAAGTTTGTTTTAATTAATTTAACTTTGTGACACTAACAACTTGTATAATTTCATCGGGTTAAGTTTAAAACTCAGTTTAATCTTTTAATATTTTAATTAGGTAGTAGGACGTGCAGCAAATGATTTTAGCATCATTTTAATAGATAGTTATTGTTTATTTGGAGAATTAAGTATCGACCGGTCTATAAGAATTCTTTATGAGCCATTAAGGTCAGGTTTCCAAGTTTAGTTCACCAGTTTTTACCTTGTAAATTTTTAGATAGGTAAATGTTGTTGTTGTCTTATTGTGTTTCTGTTTTTATAGGTACTCAGGAAACTAAATCATTTAAGTCATATTTCCCACGTTAGCTCGGTAAAACATGTCCATAGAATAACTTCTCTACTAACAAACAAATAGATGTTTTGTATGTAAGCATGCAACAAGCAATAAACAATCGAATTGAAATCTTACTTTGTAAACCAATTTCGAAGATAAGCCTTTCACTTCTCAATTACCTCTACCGATACCTCTACCGGGTCTTTGGAACAAAAACTTTTAAACCAGTTACCCAAACAGAAAGTTACAAACTTGGTACAGGTTAATACCACTCGGAAAATGTTAATACCACGTGTCTTGAATTCACTCAATCAGATTCTTTGTATCAGTCTATTTTTGGAAATAGGTCGCCCAGTAGTCTATCTCTAATAGATATTTTGCCGGTCTTCTAAACTTAGGGAAAGTTACAGTGCTTAGACAATTAGGAACACTAAACTTGTTGTCTAGAGCCCACCATCTAGAGCTCCTGATTTTCATTTTCCTACAGTAAACAGCTAAATAGCTAAGCTTTTATTTTATGATTTAGGTTATAAATGCTTCGATCTTCAAATTTCGTCTTGCTTATGAACGTAAGATAGTAAGCAATCTTGTTTTCAAATTACTTTATTTTGACATTGCAACCTCACCCTAGCGTTAATGATAGTTTAAATACCTTTTAGTCGTCTGGAGCTGCGGACAATATAACGGGTTATCGGAGCTTCGGTTTAAAGCAGAAGTAGAAATGGCCACCCCGTTTTTTGTCTGTAAAACACTATTCTATCTAACACTATTTCGCATCAACCAAGGCGAGAGAAGTCATTAGATGTTTTCGCCCCATAAAAAAACTACAGACTTTTTTACCCTATCCTTATTATTTTTATTCCTATGGCCAGATAATACCTTCCTATTAAAATCGCGTCAGCAAAGCACGTCTACTTAAAATTCAATAGGTTTACCTCCACCATTTTGTAATATAAACATCCCTGAAATTCCTTTAAAGATATCGAGCGTGATTGATGACAAGAGGCGAAGGTAATTTGATACAGTGTTATCTTTGCAAAAAGCAGGTATCATATGACAAGCTTCCATTTATTAAGTAGGTATATGTATGGGTTTAAACTGAAGAACCAATAAGGGGTGTTATTGGTAAAGTATTGGCCTCATTAAGGGACAATTTATCGGGATGCGCAAAAGGAAAATATCGATGATTAACTTTACATTGGTGAATGTTGATTACGGTTAGTCATTGTCATTTGTCAATGTATATAGAACGTGACATCTATGTATAACTGGCTAGTGCCCGCGGGTTCTCCCGCGTTGCCGTAGGAAAAAAGTAGCCTATGTGTTATTCCAAACCATAATCTATTCCAGTTTCAAATTTCAACCCGATCCCTTCAGCCGTTTTGACGTGATTGAGTAACAAACACACACGCACACAAACAAACACACAAAAAATCTTTCTCATTTCTAATATTAAGTAAGAAGTAAGATTTGCACATGAGATACGCATAGTCAAACGCCATGGCTCTATTGTTTGTATTATGCTATATGCGATGCTAATTCATCATCATAATAATTAAACTAAAATCGCGGGTTACTCACGTGAATATACTGAGAAAAGCTCTACTAGTTTCGAACCACAGAGGGGTTCTTCCTCATGAGCAGGGTGAGCGATCCCGGCGATGCATGGAAATACCTACGACATCAGTAACCCGCGATTTTTTAGCTGATTTAGTATGTCCCACGATAGTTATTATAAAAACATCATAATACTTAGCTGGAAGACGTTCACTGCTAGAAAAATTCTTTCCTCTTAGTAGGTATGCGATGCTAATTAAAAGTGTTTTAAGAAAAGGTTACTTAAGGACTCTACCAGATTTCTTAGATTATATTCAGCTGGGTTTTATTTATCTCACCATAAAAGTTAAAAAAATATAAAATCCATTTCATCCATAATCCCCAACACTGAAACGACTAAATAACAACAGGCGCACTAAAAAGAAATCGATTCCACAAATATCT